GTTCCGCAAACCTGCTACGTCGGCACGCTAGAGGCACACAGCCGGCTTTCGCTGCGGAACGCGTCTAGCGGCACCAGCGCTGCACGCGTTTTGGCGCGCGCTATGGCGCACGCTATGGCGCACGCTATGGCGCACGCGTTTTGGCGCTGCGCAGCGCAGCAGCTCAGTTCGCTGGATTCGCCGCTGCGCGGTTGGCGCTGCGGTGTGCGGCAGTTCGTTTCGCGCGACTCGGCGCGCAGAGGGGCGCGGCGCCGGCAGCTGCGGGCGGCTCGCAGCGTCGCGGAGCGTCGCGGCGCGCGCGCTACGGCGTGGCGGAACTGTCGGGGTGCACCGGCGCACCGGGCGTGAAGCCGCTCATCGTTTCGCAGTGCAGCGTCGTGAGCAGGTTGATGCACTTGCCCTGGTCCCACGGGTCGTTGCGCGCGTATCTGTCGCCCTTGATGCTCTCGTACGTGGTCTTGTTCTTGAGGATGAGGTACGTGTGGTACACCAGCAAGCCGACGACGAACCAGCCGAAGAGCAGCAGCTCGAGCACGAGCAGCAGTGCCGGCCACGCGCGCGCGAGCACCGCGCGGATGTCGTTCGCCGCGGCGAGCCGCGCGCGCGAGAGACTCACGACGCAGAGCGCCGCGCAGAACACGCTGAGCGCCGCGGCGCTCAGCACGAACTTGTAGAAGAGCAAGTAGTTGTTCATGCCGACGCAGCTGCCGAGCCACGGACAGTGGTGGTCGAAGCGCAAGACGCAGCGCTCGCACACGCTGCAGTGCACCGCGCGCGGCGGGCGCAGCACGCGGCACGAGTGGCAATACTTCAGCTGGAAGACCGCGCCGGCGCGCTCGATGGTCAGCCCGTTGGTGTGCCGCGCGGGCACCTGTTCGTCGGCCGCGGCGCGCTGCGGCACGTAGCCGGGCCCGGCGAGCGGCACGCTGAAGAAGTAGTACAGGCAGAAAAACTGCAGCACGCCGGCCAGCGCCTCGAGCGTGGCGAACTGCGCCGTCGGCAGCTCGAGTCCCTGCGTGGCGCCGCGGCTCACTTACCGGAAGGAGGAACAGGTCGAGCAAGTAGAACGTCGCGCAAAAGCAGAACATCGTGAAGGTGAACCACAGCACGTTCTGCCGGTTCCGGTAACTCATGGTCTGTGATCTGCCACGCGGTGCCGTGCTGCCGCATTTAGTGTGCAAAAAATGAATTTACCGCTTTTGCCGCGGCGACGCGGCGCAGGCGTCGCAGCGCTGCGCGCGCGGCGGCGCGCCGCGCAGACGCGGGCGGCCGAGAAGACGAAACGCATTTACGAAATTATTAATTCTGTGTAATAGGCTCGCTCGCATGACTTCGCAAGTGTCCGTTTTCAGCGCGAAAGGTGAGGCCGTCGGCTCCGCGCCGACGCCGCAGGTGTTCGGCACGGCGCTGCGCCCGGACCTCGTGCGCTACGTGTTCACGAACATGCGCAAGAACCGGCGCCAGGCGTACGCGCTTTCGCCGAACTCGGGCTACCAGCACTCGGCCGAGTCGTGGGGCACGGGGCGCGCGATGGCGCGCATTCCGCGCGTGAGCGCGAGCGGCACGCACGCCTCGAGCCAGGGCGCGTTCGGCAACATGTGTCGCGGCGGCGGCATGTACGCGCCGACGAAGGCGTACCGCCGCTGGCACCGCCGGATCAACTTGAAGGAGAAGCGCTTGGCGGTCGCCGCAGCGCTCGCTGCCTCCGCGAACGCGGGCGTCGTGCTGGCGCGCGGCCACGCGGTCGAAAACGTCCCGCAGCTGCCGCTGGTGGTGGACGACGAGATCGAGCGGCTCACGAAGACCAAGCAGGCCGTCGCGCTGTTGCAGGCCGTCGGCTGCGCGGCCGAGCTGGCGCGCGTGGAGAAAAGCCGCCAGCTGCACTCGGGCAACCGCCGCTCTCGGCTCGGCAGCCGCCGCTTCCGCAAAGGGCCGCTCGTGGTCTTCTCGCAGCCGTGCGAGGCCGCGAAAGCGTTCCGCAACATCCCGGGCGTGGACACCTGCGTGGTGAACGACATCAATTTGCTGAAGCTCGCGCCGGGCGGCGTGGGCGGCCGCTTGTTGGTCTACTCGCGCGCCGCGTTCGCGCAGCTGGACGCCGTCTACGCCAGCAAGACGAACTTCGCGTTGCCGGCGGCGGTCATGAAGAACAAGGACGTCGCCGCGATCATCAACTCCATGGAGATCCAGGCCGTGTTGCTGCCGAAGAAGCTCGGCGGGATTGCGCGCGTGGAACGCCGCAACCCGCTGCGCAACGCCAAGGCGCGCGAAGCGCTGGCGGTCAAAGGCGTGTAGATTCTCGTGCGCGTCTAGTCAGACGGCACAGCGGCGGCGTGCGTCGCGTGCGTTTTATGTATCATATCCTCAGTCGTTCTGCTTGATGCGGTGGCGCGGGTTGAACTCGGTGTAGAGCGCGTGCGACAGCGACTTGACGGTCGTCGCGAAGCTCGTCAAGCTCCACTTCGGCTGCAGGCCTTTGCGTTTCGGCTGGAAGCGGAACGAGTTTTCGACCGAGGCTATCGCCTGCGGCAGCATGATGCGGTACGGCTTGCTCCCCTTGCGGACGAACGCCAAGCGTCCGTCGTCTTGCAGGAAAATCAAGTCGATGTTGCCGAAGCCGCCCGTGCGCCACGCCTCGTTCGGCAGCATCACGATCTCGCCGTCGTAGCGCGCGGCGTAGCGCGCGAACGTCAGCCACGCGGCGCGCGCGACCGAGGAGTGCGAGCCTTTTTCCGTAATGTTGCTGCGCTCGCTGAGGCGCAGCTTGTTGTTGGGCAACACGTCCGGCGGGCAGCTGAAGAAGCCGATCGCCTTCTGCAGCGGCTTGGTAGACCAGGCCATCTCGAACTGGCGCGTGATTTCGTCGAAGGTCAAATACGCTCCGATGGGCGTCGCCCAGCGGCGCAACGTATCTTCGCTCTCGTCCGGGAAGCGCGACTGGTAGAATGCGAACTTTTCCTCCTCGTTCATGCCGCCTTCCTGGTTGCTGAACGCCTGCAGCGCCTGCTCTTCCTTGCGCTTCTCTTCCTCGAGGTCCACGATCGTCGCCTTGTCCTGTTCGACGACGGCCTTCACTTCCGCGGCCGTGTACGGCTTCGGCGCGTTCGCCGGCGCGGCTGGCGCGCGCGTCTCGTCCTCGAACTCCGTCTTCGCGATGACGACTTCCTCGTTCTCGACGATCTTCTGCTTGCAGCACACGCAGCGGCGCTTCACGCGCGTCTCGCTAATCTCGGTCGCCTCGCCCGCCGGCGTGTCGTCGACGAGCTCCTTCAGCTCAACCTCGTGCACGTCCTTCGAGCGCGAGCAGCAGCCGCACATCGAAAAGCGCCAGCCCCTGCGGACGCTCGTGGCTTCCGACGCGGCGGGCGCCGCGTCTTCGGCGGCCTTCGCCACCTGCGTAAACGAGTCACCGCCCGGCAACTTCTCGGCGCTCGCCGCGTCCAAACGGGTTTCGTCTGCGTCCACTTGTTTGCGACCGCAGCAGAGGAACCCGCGCCGCACGCTGCGTTTCTCGCTGATCTCAATCTGCGCGACGAGCCCCTCGTCGCTCGCCAGTGCGTTTTCCGCGGCCTGCAGCCTGTCGGAGCCAGGCGCAGGCTGCGCGTCAGCGTCCGGCGCGTCGGCGTCCGGCGCGTCGGCTTCCGGCCCGCCGGCTTCCAGCTCGCTGCCGCTGCCGTCACGCGCCTCGTACGTCTCCTTCAGCGCCTCCAAGTTCGAGTGGCTCACAGCGGCCGGCTTCGCGCCGAAGCAGCCGCAGCACACGGCGCCGCCGATGTTGATGTGCTCGGCGCTCGACTCCGCCCCGCTGCTGTACTCGCTGCTATACTCGCTGCTGTTCTCGCTCTGCGAGCGCTCGGTCGCACTGTCCGTGTACTCGCTTCCAGTGTAGCTCAATGCGTCGGAACGCGCGTCCGACTCGTCGGCGCTTAGCGCCGAAGCCGAACGACTCTTGTCATAGCTGTCTTCGCGAACCATTTTGCTCAGTCCAGATAAAATCACGTGCAGTATTGACGTGCAACATTTACAATTGATGCTCCACTCACTTTGACGTGCGCGCCGTTCGGCAGCCGCGCGGGCCGCCGGCTACGAGGAGGCCGACGCGTTGCGTTTGCGCGCCGCGCGGCCTTTGGGCGCCGCGTCGCTCGCGGCCGCCGCGCTGCGGCTGCGCCGCCGGCCCTTTGGCTCCTTTTCGTGCTCCGACTCGGTGTCCGGCTTCGCTTCGTCCGCGTCCGAGACTTCGAACTTGATGTTGCTGCGCTTCAGACGTTTTTTGCTGCCCTGCGTCTGCTTCTCGTTGAACTTGATGCGTTCCTCGAGCGGCACGACCTTGTCCCACTTGATTTTCTCGTCGTCTACGTTCTTCAGCGGCGCTTCGTAACTAAAGTCGCTGATGTTGCTGTAGCTGTTCAGCAAGTCGGAGGAGTGCGTGTTCGGGTTCTTGGCCTGTTCCGCTTCCTGCAAAATCTTGTCAATGTCCATTTCGCTGTTGTAGTTCGAACTCGACTCGTCCGTCTTTTCCCACAACTTGCTCGCGCCGAACTTGAGGATTTTGCTGAGTTCGTCGCGCGTAAAGCCGACGCTTTGTTTCGACTGGTTCATGATCACGGAACTGTCAACGTTGAGGCCCTGCACGACCAGTGCGTCGAGCACCATTTTGCTCTTCGCGCGCTCGAGAATGTCCTCTTCGATCGTGTTCTTCGTGACGATGCGGTAGATCTGCACCGTTTTGGTCTGTCCTATGCGGTGCGCGCGCGCCTCCGCCTGCAGGTCGTTCTGTGGGTTCCAGTCGCTGTCGTAAATTATGACCGTGTCCGCGGACGTCAGGTTGATGCCGAGCCCGCCCGCCTTCGTGGAGAGCAAGAAGCAAAAGTCCTTGCTGCCCGGGCTGTTGAACGAGTCCATCGCTTTCTTGCGCACGTCGCGCGACATCGTGCCGTCGAGCCGCTGGTGCTTGTAGCCCTGCAGCGTCAGGTACTTCGACAAAATGTCGATCATGCGGACCATCTGGCTGAAAATCAGCACGCGGTGCCCCTTCTCCTTCAGCCGCTTGAGCAGGTTGTGCAGCAAACACATTTTGCCCGAGGACCAGACCAGGTCGTGGTTGTAGCGTTCGGTGTCCTGCTGGTAGTTGAGCACCGGCGCGTCCGGGTCGGCGGCCTGCCCCTTGCGCTTGTGGTACGAGAGCAAGAAAGGGTGGTTGCAGATCTTCTTGAGCTCGACGCAAATGTTCTGCAGCGTGATTTTGCTGCCGCCGGTGTTCTTGCTGAGGCTCTCGTAGTTGCGCAGAATGATGTCCTGGCAGAAGCGCTGCTGGATCGGCGAGAGCTCGACGCGCAGGATCCACTCGATTTTGTTGGGCAGCGACTTTAGCACGTCGCGCTTCACGCGGCGCAGCACGATCGCGGACAAGCAGCGCTGCAGCTCCTGCAGCTGCTGCTGCTTGCGGTCGCCAGTGCTGTGCGTGTTCTCGATCTCGCTGAAGCGCGGCTTGAACAGCGCGAGGCTCGGGTACAGCGAAGGGTTCATGAAGTGCAGCAAGCTCCAGAGCTCGTCCAAGTTGTTGTGCAGCGGCGTGCCGCTGAGCAACAGCTTGTAGCGCGCGCGAAACTCGCACAGCTCTTTGAAGCGCTTGCTTTCGCTGTTCTTGAGCTGGTGCGCCTCGTCGACGATGATCAAGTACCAACTGATCGCGCGCAGCTCAGCCAAGTCGTCCGCCCACTGGAAGATGGAGGTCGTGATGATCACGACGTCGGCGCGGTAGCGCAAGCGGTTGCTGATGATCGCCTTGAGCTGCGCAGGGGTCAAGTCGCTGAGCCGACTGCGCGGGTGCACGAAGTTGCTGAAGCCGACGCGGCTCATCGGGCGCGCCTTTACGACTTTCAGTTCCTCTTTGCGAATGATCTCGCGCGCGGCGGGCACGCCGTGGTAGAGCACCACGTTCGCGAGCGGCAGCCAGCGGCGGAACTCGGCGTACCAGTTGTCCATCGTGCTCTGCGGCACGATCAGCAGAATCGGGCCCGCGAGCTTTTCGACGTAGAGCATGTGCCCGATCACCGCGATGGTTTGCACCGTTTTGCCGAGGCCCATCTCGTCGGCGAGCAGCACGCTCAAGTCGTTCTTCATGCGGCTGACGATCCAGTTGAGCCCGGTGATTTGGTAGTCGCGCAGCACGAGCTCCGGCTTCTGCGGCTCGGCGGCCGGCTTGCCCGCCGCGCCGGGCTCTGCGTCCGCAGCGCCGCGGTCGGGCTCGGCTGGCGCGTCGGACGGCTTCGCATCCGCGGCGTTCTTCGCGTTCAGCAAGCTGCGCGCGTCCACGCCCATGTAGCGCGGCGTAGACTGGTACGGCGTGAAGGAGGTTTCGCTGAGGTCGTGCTGGTTGAGAGTAGCGTGCGCGCTCAGCGGGCCGGAAATGCGGCTTTCCTTGAAGCGGTACTGCTCGATGTGCGCGTCGAACTTGTGCTCGAGCAAAAACGCCTCGGTCTCCCAGGTCGCCTGATCGTACGGAGTAGACTGCCACTTGACCAAGTAGTAGGTGAGCTTCGCGCCGTTTTCGTTTTTCTCGGCGTGCGTGATGATTTTCTCGGGCAACATGGCGTCGGCGTCGAGCTGGCGCTGCAACTCAATCGCGATGTTGATCTGCTCGAGTTCGTCGTCGCCGATGACGTCGCTGTAGTTCTCCATCTCTTCCTGCTTGCGCTGGTAGTTGAGCACTTTCTTGATGCTGCTGGAGCAGCGGTACTTGATTTGCTCGAGCGTGTGCGTTTCGGCCTTCAGCATACAGAAGCCCTTCCACTTGATCAAGTACATGCGCACGCGCACTGCGTTCTCAGTGGGCGGCACGAACGCGTTGTACCGGATGAGCACGACGTCGCCGTCCGCGCTGCCGTTGGGCACCGCACGTTCGGCGTCTTCGTCGAGCTCCGACTGCGGCACGATCCTCGTGGGCTCGAAAATTTTGCACTTCTGCTGCAGGTCCGGCTCAGGGAAGCCGAGTTCCTCGTCTTCCTCCTCTTCGAGCTCGTCGGCAGCGTCCGGTGCGTCGTCCGCGACGGCGGAATCGCTGAGCGGCGAGCCTGCGGGTTCGCCACTGGCGTCCGCAGCCGGCCCGAGCGCGGCAGGCGCCGCGCGGACAGCCGAGTCGAGCGCTGCGCCGGCGCGCTCGCTGTTGGCTGGCGCGTCTGCGGCGGCGTCGACCTCCTCATCAGTCTGCGAGTTTGGCAAACCGCGCGCAGCTTCATCGCCGCTCTCGCGCGACGCAAACAAAGCGGGGTCGAGTTCGCACTCGGCGTACTCGTTGTTCCCGCAAATCTTGAAGAGCAAGTTGTGTTCGGGGTCGTGCCAGTAGTCCACGTGGCTGAGGATGCGGTCGATCTGGTACTCTGTGGGCGCGCCAACGTAGTCAAGCACCGAGGTTTGCTGCTTGCTGCGCTTTTTTTCGGTTTCGGAGTGGCTGGACTCATCGCTGTCGCTGATTCTGCCTTTGCGGCTCGCGGCGCGCTGCATTTCGCCGCCGTAGGAGCGCGTCTTGGGCTTGCGGCGGCCGTTGGGGTTGTAGTCCGAGTCGCTGTCGGACTCGAGGCTGCTCTCCGAGCTGAAGTTGTCCTTGTAGCTAGACGCATTGTTTTTGGCGACGCGCCGCGGCTGCTGCGCGCGGGGCTGCAAAAACATTGGGTGGGTACGGGCCATGGAGGGGTGGTGCATCATGCGTGGCAGTTCGCCTCCGCCGTAGTACGGCGGGCGCCGCGCTCCGCTGGCGCGGAACGCAGCCATCTGCGACAGGGGCATCGGGTACATCGTCGACTGAAACTGACGCATCGCGCGCGCCTGCGCGACCTCCGGCGGCAAACCGCCGAGGTAGTTCACGCCCGGCGGCATCCCTTGCGGCATGCCGGGCGGCATTCCCTGCTGCATCCCCTGAGGCATCCCCTGCGGCATTCCCTGCTGCATTCCTTGTTGCATCCCTTGCGGTTTGCCGGGCGGCATTCCCTGCTGCATCCCCTGCGGCATGCCGGGCGGCATTCCCTGCGGCATTCCCTGAGGCATCCCCTGCGGCATTCCCTGAGGCATCCCCTGCGGCATTCCCTGCTGCATCCCCTGAGGCATTCCTTGCTGCATCCCCTGCGGCATTCCCTGAGGCATTCCTTGCTGCATTCCCTGCGGCATGCCGGGCGGCATTCCTTGCTGCATTCCCTGCGGCATGCCGGGCGGCATTCCCTGCGGCATACCGGGCGGCATCCCCTGCGGCATGCCGGGCGGCATGCCGGGCGCGCCATGCGGAGTCGGTTGCATCCCGGCGTCGACGGGGTTCATCCAGGGCTGCCAGCCAGGAGCAAGGGCGCGGAAGTCGAACTTGTTAGGCTGGCCGGGCTGCGCGGAGTAGCGCGGCGCTGGGCCGCGCCGGTACAGGTTCTCAGGCGCTGCGCGCATCGGGGCGCAGCCAGGCGCGGGCTGCGCCAGGTGCAGCGACTGGCTGGCCGCGCCAGGCCCCGCCGGCTCCTGCAGCCGCACGGCGCCGGCAGGCAGCGCGCAGCCGTCGAACGCGCCGAACGCGGCGGCGCGCGGCGCAGCCGACGAGAGCTGGCTCGCCGCGCCGGACTCCGCCGGCGAGGCGCCGCCGCTCGAGTGCTCCGCGGAAGGCGGCGCGCCGTAGCGCTGTTCCGCGCGCCGCACGCCGGCCGCATTGCCGAAGTCGCCGGCGCCCGAGGCGGTCTGCTGGGTGGATCGGCCCTGCGAAGTTAGATTCAGCTGACGAGTTGTCTCCTCATGTTGATCTAAATTATTCCGCGAAACATCATCCATCAGCAAAGCGTCAGGGCTGTTTCATTTATTTCTCTGGCTCGGAAGACAATTAAAACGACAGAAATTGTTCAATTACAGCGGTATTCGGGCTGCAAAATTACGCCTCGCGCTGCGCGCGCGCGTCGGGCGATTCGAGCGGCGCTTCGAAGTTGTAGTAAAACTTTTGCGTGGGCGGCTCGTAGTGGTCGGTGTAAAACACGCGCCGGCTCACGACGCGCGCGTCTTTCAGGCGCGGGTCGTTGATGTCCATGTTCTCGGGCAGAATGACTGTGTGGATGTGCAGCGGCTCTTTCTGCATCAGCGCGTTGAGTTCTTCGACGACTTGCGCGCGCTTCGCGTCGTCGTCGGCGCTGCGTGCGTCGCGCAGCACGCCGTCGAAGTCCGTCTGCACGCGGCAGCTGCAGTCCGCGCCTGGCGCGACGCCGTCGGGGCGCGCGAACTGGAACCTCGCGCCGCCCGCGCTATGGCCCTTCGCGCGCTCGCGGAAGCGCTGCTTGTTCCAACGCAGCGGCTCGCACGCGCCGGAGCAGCGGCCGAAGCAGGCGGGGGT